CCCTGGCCCCCCGGTTCAAAACAGTCCAGTGGCACCTTTAAGTTCAAGTTTTATTCAGGTACAAGCTCTCCCTCCTCTGCTAGGGCAGATCTGCATACACGTTCCCCCCCCCCCAATAGCTAGCAATCCAAAACAGTCCGGTGGAGCCTGAGCGGTGGGTGTTGCCTTCTGACACACTTCCGGTGATGTCAGGGGGTGTGGCACATGCAAATAAGTTATGCTAATGAGTTATGCTAATGAGCTCCTGCACCTTTCTACGAAATTACCCCTGGCTTTCTCTCACTATCTCTGCTGGGGAAGCGCGCCACTGACCACGTACAAAATGATGCCCATTTCTCAGGAATTCATCAGGACTGAGTCGGAGCTTTGGGAGCAGCCTCCCGGTCCCAGGACAGGATGCATTCCTTGGAAGAGTTAAGCCCTCAGGTGGAGGCTGCAAATTAGATCTGATGGCAAATGATGACGGGGCTCTTCCCCAGCCAGCCGGCACCTGCCCTCCCCCGAGGCTCACGTGGCTCTTGGTGGGTGATCTAGAGAGGTCCAGCCAGTGTGGCAGGTTGGCGGAAGCCTCCTGAAGCTTCCCCGCCCTTGTCTCAGCTGAGCTGTCTGCGTTCCTGGCAGGGGAGGAGACGAGGGAAGCAGGGGAAGGGAGCTGCGGAGGCACCTGGGGTGGGGTCAGCACTCGCCTTGGCCCGCTTATGGGGCTGGATCCTGTTTGGCAAATTGTATTAAAGAGAACCAAAGTAATTTATATTCAGGTGGGTAGCTGTATTGGTCTGAACAAAGGTTTGAGTCCAGTGGCACCTTTAAGACCAGCGTTCCCTATCTGAGGAAGCCAAAAGATAAAAAAGGATTTGTTATTATAACCCTGAAGTTTAGAGAATGTTTAAAATAAGATTTCTTAGATTCTTTAGGAAGTCATAGTGGACGATGTTTAAGTTGGGGCGGAAGTTTGAAAGATGATGAACATGTTCAATGAATTCATATGAATATTTAGCTATATAAGCTTGTAATCGTGTTAAAGCAGTTTGTATGACACCCACTCTTGGGTTTTTAGAGGTTCCTTTATTTTATTCTATAGTATGTAGTCCCTTTTCCATTTTTTCGTGTAGTGTTTAGTTTTAACTGCCCTGAGCCCACGGGGAGGGCGGGGTATAAATACGAAAAATAAATAAATAAATAAATTTAGAAAATGCAATAAAAAAATCCCCTTCGGGGGTTCGAGGATTAGAGCAGGATAGTAAGACGAAAGTAATAAATAATAAATAAAATAAATAAACTCAGTTGGTCTTAAAGGTGCCACTGGACTCAAGCTTTGTTTCAAAGGAATTTATGAACAATATAAAACCAACCACTGCACCTCCTCCCAAAGAACCCAAAGGCAGCATATTTTATATTCAAATAGTCAAATGTGGACAAATTGGTGAATACCTAAATATGCAGAGGGGACCAAGGCTAACTAAAAACTGAAAATTCTGCAAACTCCGGGGGCTTCACAGGTTTTCAGGGAAATCTGAAACTGTTAAAAAAGTACATTCAGGGGTTTAAGTCCCCCCTCCCCCACCCCGAAAAAAAGAAAAGTGTTTGTCTGTGCATGTGCAGATGACGTACCTACCAGTGAAGATGCTGGAGGTGGGATATTGTCAAAACTATATAAAATGTCCCACAGGAACCCAGAAATAGAATAAGGAAAAGAGAACACATCTGTGGGACGACCCAATTAAGTATGAGAGCAAAGCTCTTCAGTCTAAATACATAAAGCTCAAACATTATAGAATATATAGTCCATACAAAAGGTCCAAAAGGATCCATCAAAAGAAGACCAGACTCAATGCACATTAGAGCTGTTGTAAACGTTGCAGTGTTCCCTACTTTAAATTGTAAAGCTCTGCGTCCTAGGAAAACATCTTTGTGTTTTGACTACTGCTTGGAATTTTATTGTAAACCCTGGGGTTGGACTAATGTTTTGATCTGAAGAAGACTATGTAGAAAAGCTTTCATTTCTTTTTAGACAG